TATATATATATATATATATATATATATATATATATATGTCCATGTATACGTATATATATTTGTAAATTCATTTAGCAAGTTAATCAAATCATCAAACCTGGGCCTTATTGACTAAACATACCATACGTAAGGACCGTGAGGGTGATGAAGCACGACAACCAATCAAGACAATCCAGTTAGATTGAACAAACTTATTTAATTGATTAATCAGTTAACACCTAATTATAATCTCTACTTGACCCTGTGATACGATGTCTACGACATATACACATTCTGTATACATACATACATACATACATACATACATACGTATATGTATATGTGTATAAACACACATGTGTGTTTGTGTGTTTATATATGCATCCCTACTTTGAGGGGCTTATCACATTTCCCATCTGTTAGTCACAAGGAACCATCAACAGTCGGTCCAAACATCTGCATTTTCCATCATTTCACACAACTTATCCATCTTGTAAGTTTCTTTGGAAGATCTAACGTATACATACCTTGATCGGGATCATAGATTAGGGTTTATAAGTATAAAGATTAGAAACAGAAACTATGGAACCAGACAGAAGATCATCAAGCGCACCTTCGACAACACTGAGTCTCGAGAGAAGACTGTCGTGCCTTCCTCCGTCGTACGGAAGGCTCGTCACCATCCTCAGCATTGATGGCGGCGGAATCCGCGGTATCATCCCCGGTGTCATCTTATCCCATCTCGAATCCATGCTTCAGGTTTTCTCTGAATTCATAACGATCATTCCAAATTTTCGAGATATACATATACTTTTTTTTTTCTAAATCTATTTTTATGAGTGTGATTAGGAATTGGATGGTGAGGATGCGAGGCTTGTGGATTATTTCGATGTGATTTCAGGGACGAGTACCGGAGGTTTGATAACGGCGATGTTATCTGCACCATCAAAGGACGGTCGGCCTCTATTCTCCGCGAAAGATATCGTCCCTTTTTACGTTAACCACTCTCCTAAAATCTTTCCACAAACCCGGTATGCATGTTTTCGCACATTTTGAAGATGTTTCATGAGATTAAGAAGGAGATTTCTTACTTGCGAATCAAGAAAGCGGTTTCGATTTGCAGAGGGATATGTGGTTGGGTCGAAAACGTAATTAGGGTTATACGTGGACCGAAGTACAACGGGAAATATCTTCACAAACTGATAAGGGGTTTCTTAGGAGACATGAAACTGAGCCAAACATTGACGGACATCGTCGTTCCATGTTTCGATATCAAGAAACTCCAACCTGTCATCTTCTCTTCTTACCAGGTCATGTTTTTCATCCAATTTCCATACATATTCATGCATGCGCATGCGTGCGATTGTAACAACACATATTCATGTCGCGTTTAGGGTTTTGATTCGATATTTACGTATACAGACCTCATGCAATCAAGTTCTTGATGCGAAGCTATCAGATATTTGTATCGGCACATCGGCTGCACCAACTTATTTTCCTGCTTATAGATTCACCAATGAAGATAACCAAGAAAAACAACACGAATTCAACCTCATCGACGGTGGTGTCACTGCCAATAACCCGGTAATTAAATTCTATAATTTTTAGAATATATACATGTGTGTGTATATATATATATATCAGTAATTAAGAGTGATAATATATTATAGACGTTATGCGCAATTGCGGAAGTGACGAAACAGATAATAAAGAAGAATCCGAAAATGGGGGACATAAGTCCGTTGGACTATACGAGGTTTCTTGTGATATCGCTCGGGACAGGATCCATTAGGAACCAAGAGAAATACAATGCGACAATGGCGTCGAAATGGGGATTGATTTCTTGGATTTTCTCCGACGGGTCAACTCCTATTCTCGACTGTTACAGCGAAGCGATTCACGACATGGTTGATTACCAGAGCTCCGTTGTCTTCCAAGCTCTTCGGTCCGAGAAAAATTACCTCCGGATCGACGTAAGTTCTTCTTGGTATATTGACCGACAATTTCTTGCGATCATTCAATTCATCACGTTTCATTTTCTTTATTTAAAAAAAGGATTAATCTCATGATTTTTCAAGTACGCAACTTTTGAAAAATTATAATTTATGGATGTGACTGGTGTTCCACACGAAACAATATTGGAATCTTTTCAATATGGTCCCATCTAAGAATCAAATTCTCTAAATTGGTTATTCTTTCCTGAATTTGTCAAAGTTCAACGTTACTTGACAGAGTGGTCATATATATAATTCTTTAAACCATTAAAATATGTTATCCGAACAAAATTCTAGATAGCGTTTTCTTGTATCTTTCTTCCGGTTGAATTGTCCGATGAGATTTGCTCGTACACTCTTAATTACAGCTAACTTTGTCCATTAATTATTTATTTTCCTTAGAAAATTTTCTACATTTTTTTAAGATATATTGCTATAATCAAAATAGCAATGCTAATATTTATTCATTAAGGATGATACGTTGAAAGGAGACTTGGGCTCAGTGGACATGTCGACTGACAAGAACATGAAAGGGCTTGTCGAAGTTGGCGAAGCCTTGTTGAAGAAAAGGGTCTGTCGGATCGATCTTGACACTGGTCGCTACAAGCCCATCTCTGAAATTGTCACCAACGAAGAAGCTCTCAGAAAGTACGAACCAATAAAGCCAATTTGACCCTTTTTTTTCCTTTTTTTCTAAAAAAAAATCGATTTTTTTTTATATTTATTACAGGTTTGCCAAGATGCTGTCCGAAGAGATGAAACTCCGGGAATCGAAGTCTCCCAAAGTGAAGATATAATGAATCTGCTCGTTTCATTCCGCAATCTTGATGTGTGCCTGATCCAATACTACATTCAAATAAAAAACCAAGTGGTGATGTCGCTTTAATCTGCAACACAAATGGATGATTCTTGATTCTTGAATCTTGAATCTTGATTCTTGATTCTTGATGGGGCTTGACCAAAAAATTAACCTGGGAGAAGCCCTCTTCCAACAAGGGAGGGGCGAGTTGGGTTTCTTTCTAGCACTTGGTTAGTATTTCTGCTCCATCTTCGGTTATCAGAATGGTATGCTCGAACTGAGCAGAGAGGCTCGCGTCTTCCGTTACCACCGTCCAGTTATCGTCCCACATCACGGGTTTGATGCTTCCTACCGTCAGCATCGGTTCTGCAAGACCACGAATACGCTAATACGCATAAAACTATATATACATAGTATCATGATAAGTATACGGTTTTCCAAGGCTTCTTATGTTACCGATGGTGAAGGTTTGATTCAAAGCCATGCGTCCGACTTCGTTATTCCCTGCGATAGAAAGAAAACCTTTCATCCGACGAAAGATTCATCGGAAAGAGAGTATTATCGGAGAGTTTGCGTTTACAGCAACTTACGGAAGTGTAGAACAACGGGATCAGCATGGAAGACACGTCCGACTCCATGGCCTACAAATTGTCGGACAACCCCATAGCTGTGTCTATCTGCATGATCACTTCAGAAATTTTTGCCCAAACATAAGTCTTTATTTACCGGTGCGATATCAGTAAGTATATGTTCAACGGAAAATCAAGAAGGCGAGGTGTTTTTTTATTTCGGGTCACTAACTGGATTGTTTTTCCGATTTTCTTGAGCTCAACTCCCGGTCCACAGATCGATATTGCCTTGTCTAGACATTCTTTCGTCACCTAAAGCACGATCAAGAATAAAACGAACCGAAAATCAAAAAAAGGAAACAAGAAGGTGGCTGAGCTAAAATATTCACCAGACAAGATCATGCAAATCGTATAGATAATGATAATATACATATGCCCTCGATTTTATGGGACAACATATACCTGAACCAGCTTTTTCGCTTCCTCGTCGACATTTCCACAAAAGAAAGTTGCTGATGTATCGCCATGATAGCCCTGCATAACAATATATACTTATCACGTATTGGAGATGAAGGTACAAAGAATCCGAAATATACAAATCGAATTTACTTAAAGGTTCAGAAAAAACACGCAAAAGCAGAAAAAAATAGTTACATTCAAATAAACTGTGACGTCGATGTTGATTATATCACCATCCTGCAAAAAATAGCATGTGATTCACAAAAAGGAAAAACATTTAAAAAAACGCTTCAACATATCATATAATAAGTTGAAAACCTACAGCGACCAACCTCGAGCGGGCGGGAATCTGGTATTCCATGGCAAATGCATTCGTTCACTGATGTACAAACACTTTTCGGGAAACCCCCGTAACCTAGAGGCGAAGGATATGCTCCATTCTCGATAATCATTTGGTGGACCGCTTCATCGATTTCGTCAGTGGTTATGCCTGGCTGCCAGTAGGATGTGATTATTAATACCTGTCGGTAAGGAAGAACGATAGCATCTAACTATTGCATTCCCCATGTCATTCCACCTTGAACCAATCAGTTAGGCAATGAAAGAAAAGGGATAATGGAAATTATACTCTTACTGCATTTTTGCACTTGAAAACGAATGGAAAAGAGATAACGATAATCTTAAAGTGGAAAATCATTCAGAATGGAAGATATCTAATCCATTGGATAAAACCCATTTCTACATCCGAGGAGCAAAAAATTATGAACTCAAACAGGACAGGTAGGGGCGGAATGGAACTACTTCCAGAACAATTTATGTATAACGATAACATTGGCATGAGTTCCGTCTTTATAACTCTCCACTAACTGTAAACCAAAACTCAAGATAATCTCAGATCACAAACAAGACAAGGGTATCGATTTGGCTCACCTTAACCAAAGTCCCGGCATATTCTAGAACCCTTGCGGCAAGTTGTCCGGAAGCTCTCATCCCGTCTTGACCTTTCTTGTCGTGGATTTCCGGTCCACTCGCAATTCCGGGTGGTTGCCAAGAATTGACATAAGGAGGTTTTTGTATGTGATCAGGAACGGGCCGTCGAGGAGATAGCTTCCCCGGCCTGAGACGTTTTCTCTCGCCATCTACCATTTCATCATCATTTCTGTTACCGCCAAACAAAACTTAACTATAAAAGCAGACAAATCATGTGGAACAGAAGCTCAAGCAGTTTATATAGAATGTGTTTCTCAGAACAAAAACAAATTCCCAAACTCATAGCTAGATTGTAAACCATTACCTAAATCGATAAAATAATTCAACCCACAATCACAAGTTCTTTGAACAACAACAGCAAATCTCTCGTAAGGGAAATTAATCCTTAAAAACAACAAAAGGACAAATCTCTTCCGGTTATGGAGAAAAGAGTATCAAAGATCATACCTTCTATTAAACAGAAGATTGGTTAAACCGGAGAAGGTTCTCGATAATCGCATTGAAACTTTCCTGCTTCCTGCAAAATCATAGTCAATTGATCACAACCTCGTAACCAATTTGCTAGATTTTTCGCAATCCTACAGGAGACCCACATCCATATCTTGACAACCTAAATCCAAATCTCAATATCGAACTTTCCCATCATGGGTTAGCTTCAAAATCTACAAACATTAAACCTACAAATCAAACTCGCAATCTGGGCGGCGCTATGAACCAAGTGAATTTAGCTTTCCGAAATAGCAGAAGAGATAGTAGAAGAGGAACCAGGGTTGAAGCGGAAGAGATGGTGAAGCGGCTGTGTTGATCGGAGAGAGAAGTCTCCGAGAAAGGAAGAGATGATTTTGGGTTGCAGTGACTTGGCGACCGCCATTGGAGATGCTCGGCGAACTTCGTTCCCACCACACGTCTTCTCCGATCCGCTCCTTGTATTGTCGTATAATAAAAATAAATAAAATAAAATAACATGAAAAATATATCGTTCGTGAGATGTAATATTGGGCCTTGAATGGGCCTCTCTAAAATTCCAAAATGGTAAGGAACTCATATGGAAAAGCCCAAGAATTTCTGCTTATTTACATTTTCATCCCTAGAAGAACATAGTTTGTATCTCTCTTTTAAGTTTTAACTCTACTAGCTAAATTCAAACCAAATACAAAAATAAACTTTATTTTTTTTAATTATTTTGAATGTTCTTCAAATCTCGACGAAAATATATCTCGCGAATAAATTCTCCAATTTACTATTTCAGAACAACGACGAATAAGCTAGTAATCAGTAGTGACCTAGCCAAAAATTTAATTGGGTGCAAAATTAATTTTATATATCACAAATATAATTTTTTTTATGGGTGTTTATAAAATTTGGTTAAAATTTATAAAGAAATTATGAAATTTTAGTCATACAAATGGAGGCATATAGTCAATATGGGTCCGTCGATGACTCCATGCTAGTGATAGTCTTTTATATAATAAATATAAGATTAAAAATCAAGAAAATCTAGGTCACTTATTGATAAGAGATAGGACAAAACTTTTTTTTTAATCTAGATTCGAGTTTTTATTTGGACACACCTCAACTTGATCTTTGAAAAATGTAGTTAGACGCTTACTAAACTTTCGAATTATAAAAATAAAAATAAAAAGCACGTAATAGTTTATAAATAACGTAAAACATGTAAAATGCATGGCCTAAACATGCATCCAATGGTTTGCCAAAAAAAACCATGCATCCAATGGATAAATTTTGGATCATGCATGATGGATGACATCCATTCGATACCATACCATAATTCATAATACGAGAGCGAGGTGTACGGTGACATGTCGGTGAGAAATGTGGGACCTCAATACACGTGTCAGATAACGACTACTATTGGTGATATTGCAATCTGGAAAAGTCAAGAAAAGCCTTCAGCCACCTTCTCTGGGTCCCACATTTATTCGTTAGTTCAGTAACATAAATTGATTTCTCCTTTCATTCTTATGGAAATCCACGTCAGCACACAGTCCATCCCCCCCCCATGTGTACGCGTGACTTTTTGTCATCAAGTTGCTTAGCTCTTTTCTGATCGAATTAATCTCCCTCTATCTATTTTTCCTGCGATTAGAATTTCCTTCTATACGTAACTTTTCAATCTGTAACATATGTAAAACTTTTATTTGTTTTTTATATAAAGTTAAAAAAATTAGTCATGTATATATTTACTCTCTATCCATTTGAAATTAAATCCTTACTATTATAAAGTATTAATGTTAGTTAAAATGTAAATTTTTTACAAATATCTTCGGTTTCTTATCTAATACACCCTCGGTTTTTAAATAGACGAGGTTTTAGAGGATGTTTTTTTGTTATTTAATAAATATCGTTTTAGATTTTTTAGATGATTTTTTAATAAAATTCTTAATTTTTACCTTTTATTTTAATCACTTAATTTGAATAAAATATTAATGAAAAAATAATTTAATGATGATATATATTTTTTTAAAAAGTGTGAAAAAATATAAAACGATAATTATTCAAAAACGGAGAGAGTATCTTATATTTTCGATATAGTTAAGTATTTAGGAAGATTTTAAAACGTTGATTAGATTATCGAAGTCGCTATTGTATATTATTTTTGTATAATCTTCTATCGAGATAATTTCACAATTTATCGTGTTTTCTCAAAAATATGTTTTGAGATGGGTGATCTACCATACCAATTATTGATTCTTCAAAAAAATATAGAAAACAAATTTAATATGGAGATAAAATTTCAGTAATGCTACATATGAATTATTAACACACATACTTCTAAGTTAGTCATTTTTTTTGAAATCCTTGGTTTTTTAAACAAATTAAATGTGAATATAAATTTCAATAATGCTACATATATGAATTATCAAACATCAAATTGGTAGCTTAGAATACGGTCGACGTCTAAGAACACATGATCTCGAGTTTCGGACCGTGACGTAAGAAAAACAGTCAAGTAAGTTTAAGATTATATTATATGCAGTAATTATGTTTCTCCTTCATCAATTAGTTCTTGTATATATACATACACACATATGTATATATATATTCGGGATTCCTCGACAACGAATCTCCTCATGCTTATCGTCGGCATGAACGGGAATGTGTGCGTATATATGTGTATGTGTGTATAGCGACGCCTCAACTATGCATTATCGGGATCTTAATTATTTTTTTTATTCTATATATGATTTAGGTTAACATTTTCAGAGATAATTAAATATTTTACTGTCTTTACGTTACAAGACTGATGGGGAAGTCAACCTAGAATCTAAAGGCTGACATCACGAGACGGATCGAGATTCGATCTAAGATTCAACTTTCCATTTGCATTGGAAATCTAAAGAGGATAAGAATCAAAGTTATAAGTTATATATAATTATTTTTAAATATTACTATTAATTTCGTTTGTAAAGTGCTCACAAATGAAATTGGCAGTATATTCATTTACTGAATCTGACCACTGACGTCATCCAAACTAAATTATAAAAAACCTTATTAAAAATTTTAACGCATAGTTTTTTTTTGGCAAATAATACAATAAAGATTGTGTCGGCTGCGCATTAGCCATAAATATCTAAATAAGCGTTCACCCCAAGATAAATATCAAATGAAATAATCTTACATTTCCCATTAAGGTTAAAAAGAATTCCAAGTGTCCGAAAACTTTATTTGATATATAGGATAGTCCACATATTTAAATAAAACTTTATCATGATTACTCCTTCGTACTGTATGAAATGGTCAATATGAAATTAGATCTACGGACAACACTTTTTAAGTGATGTGAACTAATAAACTGCTTTTATAAAATTGAATATGTTTTCCCATAAAATGATGAAATTACAATGATGGTGTATATATATATATATATATACACACACATTCAACTATAATTATTGTAGTATATTTTGATGAGGAGATGGGTGAGAATAAATTAAAGTGAAACACATAATTTATAAATAAAGATTCGAATGATGGATCAATGGAAGATTCAGATGTATACGGGTTGACGAAATACCAATTATTGGATATGCATGCGCTGTACGAGTAATATTTAACAGAATCAAATTATGTATGTAATTAAATAAATAAAAATAAAATGTGCTTGGAATTGTACAAATAAATAAAATAAACAACTCAAAATATTTTGGTTTGCAAATATATATAAAAATCGAATCAAGTTTAAATTCCGGTGTGCGTTTTGTTCTATATGCTTTCACGTCGTATAAGCTTGTATATTGTATAAGCTTGTATAAAACGTTACGATATAGGTAAAAAATACGTACGTCTCCGAGTATTACATTAACTATATGTTTTTATGTTACGTACGTACGTTGTGATATTGAACATGAAAGTGGGGACTCAGATATGACCCCGATGAAATAAATATTCCATTAAACAATTGTGGTATGAATCTGGACCGAACGAGAACTCGTGGTCCTTCCCCCCTTTTTTTACCCGAATTAAAATACATCCATCTAAATTCGGCGATTATTTAAATATACGTTACAAAAATAATTTAATGTGGCAAAATGTTATGATGAATAAGCGACAAAAAACATGTACACACACACACACTAACTTTGGTCTTAGTACCATCTGAATGAATACCAAAACTTGATTATCAAATATATTAAAGTACTAAACTTGATTATTAAAAGGCGGTTAATATCCCATTAGCCCTTATATTAAATAGATTATAAAATTTCATAAAAAAAATAGATTATAAAATCCATGCATTTTTGTGTGCGCGTGCACTATATAGTAGTATCTCAAGCCTTTCTTTATGTGGTTACAGGATATTTATTATATTCGATATTAGGGTCGTCCCCAATATTATTCTCAATAATGTGAACCAAGTGCTATTGCATTTTTACATGACCCTATTACTATAAATATGATGTCAGCATTAACACCACTGTTACCTAAGACCTAACTGTTATATTTGTTATATAGGGTCCAAATTTAATGAAATGTGTCACATCGTTATTTAATTATCTCTGCTTTTTACATCTCTGCCACGTCAGTCAGATCGATGAAATGTTCGATTTGGTCTAATTCAATGTATTTTATAATAAATTTAAATCTACACTCCCCATATCCATTTTTGGTTATTGCCAATTAATCGTTTAGCTGTAACAAACGGTTCCTTCCAAAGGAATTTAAATTCAGGATTTGGTTCGTTCTTCTCCCGTGATCTTTTTTGCGATCGCAATGGCATAACTGTGATTTATGAGAAGATAAGAGGGTACTAATGTAATCTCGTCAACTAAATCACAAGCCCCACCACAGATGATTATATTACGCCCTCCCCGCCCCGTTCAGTCACCGCCAATGGGCAGCTAACCGACACGTGTCACCGGATTTCTCGTCGTTATATACAAAACTCATCACATCGGAATAACGGCGCCGTCAGTTTTCCCGTCAGAGATTCCCCGTCGCTGTTGACGGAGTCCCGGGGACCACCAAACCACGAGACCCGCGTATATAAAAAAGGTAAAAAGCGCCTCATAAATCCAAATCCTGACCGTTAAAGCAAAATCTCTCTTCCTCGCTTTCTCTCATCATCATCATCATCATCATCATCATCATCATCATCTTCTCTCTTCTTTCTTCATCTTCCTCGTCTTCCCTCGTAAGCTTGCTGAAACTAACTTAGCGAACACGCCAAAGGAAAGAGGTCAGAGAGATGGTGAGGAAGTGCGGGGGAGCTACCGAGGCCGGCGGTGGAAGAGCTCGTAGAGGCGGAGATCGGGCTGACATTGTGGGAGAAGCCAAGCGGAGGAAGATCGACGATGGTGGAGGATCGGTCGGAATTTCGTCTACATATATGCAGCTGCGTAGCCGGAGAATATTACTAAGGAATTCCGTCTCACGGAGAACGGTTAATCTCGGTTGCGGATCGGAAAACCCTAGCTCTGCAGTACACGACGGTGCCGTTTCTTCATCGTTTTGTTGCCACGACTACGAGACGAGCGGAAGCAAGAGCAACGTCTATGGATACGTAGATCTGGAGGTGAGGATCTTCGGTTTCATTAAATTAGGGTTCGTATAACTGTAGATATCGTCACTAATTCTAGTGTAAGGAAATTTAAAATCCCGACGAGATCTTCAATTTGAATTTTCTACTGCAGGAGGACAAATGCAGTGAGACCGAAACGTCGGCGTGTGGGTGAGTAACCGCTTCAAATTTCGAGTAATTTTTCGGGTTCATATTTGTTCGACTTCAAAGCCAAAGAAATCCAAACTCATGGCCCGTAAAATCTTCCAGGAGTCAACCGACGCTGTTCATCAAGGTGAGAGACGAAGAATCAACAGAGTCCATGGGGAATTCATTTTCCACGATCAAATCCGCAGACACGGCGAACACATCTCATCCAGAATGCTGCCGAAGAGCACCACCATCGGCGGAGGAGAACGAGAAAACGACGGTTCCAACGGAAGCGGAGCTTGAAGAATTCTTCTCGGCGGCAGAGAAGCAGCACCATGAGAAGTATTCGGAAAAGTAAGTATAGAACTTCGGTTCATTACCTCCATTTTTTTCTTTCCGGCCATGCAACCAAACAGGAAAATAAAAACTGGGCTAAAATTTCAGGTATAACTTCGATTTCCTGAAGGAGAAGCCATGTGAAGGACGTTACGAGTGGGTAAAATTGTCGCAGTGAGTGCCATTGATAAGGTTTTGAGTTTTAATATCTAAGGAAAGGTTCTGATGAATTCTAGTTACCATAGTAGAAGAGGAAGAAGACGAAGAGTGGAGAGGTACAATTGATGAAGAATGCGAATGCAAAGATGAAATTTGCACAGAAGAAGCTTCTGATTAAGAAAGAAAGATGGGTTTTCCACTTGAAAACATTCTCAGGTTCTTAGAGAGAGAGAGAGAGGAGAAAGAGCCCAGAAAAGTCGTGTCTTTTTTTGTTGTGATAAATTAAAACAAATGTCTGCAACTATTCTTTTTCTGGGCTTTTCACTTTCAGTACGCACTTTCTTCTTTGTGGATAACTATTTTTTTCGACCGCATCAATAATTTCAATTCTTATTTTATTTGACGAAATGATAAATGTTTTCCTGCATTTCTTTATCATTTTCCTTCATGAATCCGGTTTATTTTATATAGATTAGAATTGAATCTTTTCGAGCGGAAAGAATGTATTATAAACAACATAAATGGGTGCGAGGAGAAAACAGAGGGGTAGACCCATATTTTTATTTAGGAACGAATCGTTAGTACCTATTTGGAGATTGCAAATTTTAGAAGATTTTATCAAAAATCGAAATGAGTGGAAACAAATGCAACCGATTCTAAATAAATTTGGGATTAAGGCGAAATTAATATTGATAGATCGACAAAATTGTTGGACTTTTAGGTGTTGAATGGATGGGGTTTTTATTTTGAGTTTTTGGATTTAGGTGTTGAATGGGAGGTGGATTTCGGAGTTTTTGGATTTCAAAAAGTGAAAAAACCGACAATCAAGTTTTTTGAAATTTGGTTTTCCTAAAAACTCGGAAATCTACTTTATGAAAAAAATCAACTAAAAACTAAAAGCCACCTTTTTTAGATTTTATAAACTTTCAGAATCCAAAAGCCAAAACCAAAAACTAAAAACCCAAAACTAAAAACTTAAGGCTTTGAATGGTATTGGTTTTTATTTTGGGTTTTTGGCTTTAGTTTTTGGTTTTTGGTTTTTAAGTGTTGAATGGGAGGTGATTTTCGGAGTTTTTGGATTTTAAAAACTAAAAAAACCAATAATCAAGTTTTTTAAATTTTGGTTTTCCTAAAAACCCGGAAATCTACTTTATGGAAAAAATCAACTAAAAACCAAAATCTACAATTTTTTAGATTTACAAACTTATAAAATCCAAAAGCCAAAAACCAAAAACTAAAAACTAAAAGCCAAAAACTAAAACCAAAAACCCAAAATAAAAGCCACTACCATTCAAAGCCTTAAGTTTTTGGTTTTTGGTTTTTGGATTCTGAAAGTTTATAAAATCTAAAAAAAGGTGGCTTTTAGTTTTTAGTTGATTTTTTTTTCATAAAGTAGATTTCCGGGTTTTTAGGAAAACCAAATTTCAAAAAACTTGATTGTCGGTTTTTTCACAATTTGAAATCCAAAAACTCCGAAATTCACCTCTCATTCAACACCTAAAGCCAAAAACCCAAAATAAAAACCAATATCATTCAAAATCTTATTTTTGGTTTTTAGATTTTAGTTTTTGGTTTTTGGTTTTTGGTTTTTGGTTTTTATAGATTTGTAAATCCAAAAAAATATAGTTTTTAGTTTTTAATTCAATTTTTTCCATAAAGTGGTTTTCTGGTTTTTAGAAAAACCAAATTTAAAAAACTTGATTGATAATTTTTTGTGTTTTTAAAATCCAAAAACTCCCAAAACCCCTTTTCATTCAACACCTTAGTTTATAAATGGTATATCTCGTAATTGTAGCTTTGTAAAGAATATGCCTTACAAAAACTATTTCCTAATTCAAATCTCTTATCATCGATATTCTCAAATTTCTAAACATTATTTTGATATTTTTTATTTGTTCTTCTAATTCTATGAGCCATTTAGCCTTGTGCATAAATAAAACACTCGCGAAAATTATGTAAAAAAATCTCTTTGAACTTACTTCTCATTTGGGCCAATTTAGCTTTGAAATCCATATTCCAATGTTTTCTCCCACACTCAATTATCCATTGTTATATATATATATATATATAATTACACAGCCACAATTTCATTTTCGGAATGTCATTTATAATAAACAATTTACACATCGGCGACGTGATCACGGGAAAAAAAAAACAAATTAAATAACGGACACGATTTTTTTTCCTAACACATTCTTTATGTACACTACATTCTAACTTATGCTGGGAAGGAACTATAACACATCTTTAAGCACAAAGCCCAAATTGAATCGAAGAATCCAAAAAAGAAAACGAAGACGCAAGCATATGTTAATAAGGGTCAGATTCTCAGGACATCATCGTACTCACATCAAACCGCTTCAATGGCATCTCCCGAACTCATGGAACCAGTTCGGTTGTACCCTTCTTTCTCCAGCGAGTACGTTATCAGAGTCTTCACCACTTGCCTGAACCTTCTTCTGTATGTCGGAAGCTTTGACACGCTCCGTACCATTCCCATCATCCTTCAGATGATCCAAAAAAAAAACAGAGCGAGAATCAGGTTAATGGTTTCAGAGAAATTTATCAGAGGGAGCTTCCGGGCATGGCCGAAAAAGCTCAAAGGTTCATTCTTTTTCTCCTCTGGTTTGTGGGTCTGTCGAATGATTTGAAGGAAGGACGTTTTAAGACATTTTTACCCAGAAAATCAAGCATGAAACAGAGTTAACCCATTTGATTTGCTTTCTGGTTGTAAAGATTTAGCCAAAAAGTTTCAATCTTGTTTAATGATTCACATACCTTCTGCTGATTCCTTGGATTTGTGCAGCTCGAAGGTTATCTTGAGGCGGGAATCCTCGGTTATCCCAAGCTTCCATCCGTTGTTCTTGGTTGCCGAAAAGAATAATTTTCTCCAAGTACCTAACCTCGGTTTCCCCCAGCTTTATGACCCGAATTTGATCTTTCAGAACCATTATAGGACTGAAGAACCAGTCGAGAAACTTCTCCTGGGGTCTGTTCATATGAGTAACCTCTAAGCCATCGAGCAGAAGCATACCTCGAGAGCCAGCTTTAATGGAGCTAAGTAGTGTATGCAACAGGGAATAGCAAGGCAGCCCGACATTTATAACCGCAGATTCGTTACTGTTTCCCTTCAAGAACTCATAGAGATCGGCCGGGGTTATCACTCCCGCGTCAAGTAGTTCCTTGCCTTTCATCTCGAACCATCCCATCATATGCTCCCAAATCTGTATGGGTTTCGGATTGATTCAGACATGGCCGGGTGATCATCAAATTTGGGTTAAGAATGCGGAATCTGTGTATATACCTGGACCATTTTCACTTCTTGTATCGCCTCTCTAACGGATACAGAACGAGCAAGGCTTGGTACGAACATGGCCGGAGCATCTGCAGAGCCTGAAGGGTTGACTCTGCTTACATCAGAATGGTGAACTGTCACGGATAGTTCGCTTGAATAAGACGCT